CTTTGACAAAAATGTTTTGCTGTAGGGGCTGACCCCGTGGCTGAGTGGTTGGGTTTGCACTCTGCTTTGACAGCCCGGGGTTTCACTGGTTTGGATCCCAGGTGCAGACATGGCACTGCTTGTCAGGCCACGCTGGGGTAATGTCTCACATAACACAACCAGAGGCACTCACAAGTAGAATATACAACTATGTACGGGGGTGGGGGTGGGGGTGGGGGCTTTGGGGAGAAGAAGAAGGAAAAGAAAAAAATGTTTTGCTGTTATACTTGGCTAGTGACAGCCAGAGTAGCTTTGGGCCCACTGAGCAAAACAGATGATTGGCGATTTATGCACAAACACTCTTCTTGAATCACAGATAGATTCTTTCACACACTATAAAGCAGAATATCCAGAGCACTATTCCATCAAAGCACTAAGATGGCAACAAAACTCAAGAGTGAACCAAATAAGCAAAATATTCTTCCTGCCTATGCAGGAACCATCTTCTAAGACTTTCCACACCTCTGGAGAAATGCCAGGAGTATTGTTAAATCTATTACATGCTTTAGGAATTCTATATTATCTTATATCCTAATGGAGGAAAAGTGAAACAGAAGAAAGGACATCTTCTGGGAAGAAGTACACAGAGAAATCCAGGGTGAGCAAAACATCCCAGGGTACACTTGTGTTCAAAGCATAGAGGAGGGAAAAGAGACAAAGATAAAGAATAAGTAGTGAGCACTAGAAAAGATGCTCAACAGCAGTAGTCATCAGGGAAATGAAAATCAGAACCACAATGAGATATCACTTCACACACTATGATGGCTAGAATCAAAAAGACAGATAACAAAGTATTGGTGAGAATGTGGATAAACTGGAACCTCATACATTGCTTGTGGGGTGTTAAATGGTGTAGCTATTTTGGAACCTAGTTCAGCAGTTCCTCAAAAAGTTAAATATAGTTGCCACTGAATTGTATACTTTTAAATGGTTAAGATGGTAAATTTTATACTACATTATTTTACAATAGTAAGAAAAAAGTTAAACATAGAATTACTATATGACCCAGCAATTCTACTCCTAAGTATATACCCAAGAGAAATGAAAACATATGTCCACACAAAAACTTGTACATGAATGTTCATAGCAGTATTATTCACAATACCCAAAAGGTGGAAACAACCAAATGTCCAACCCAACTGATGAATGGATAAACAAATGGAATATTATTTGCTTGTTTAAACTGAAATATATAGAATACATTATTTCATATAACGGAATATAATTCAGTCATAAAAAGGGATGAAACACTGATACACGCTACAACATGCATGAACCTTGAAAACATTATGTTCAGTGAAAGAAGCCAGTCACAAAAAGCCACATATTGTATGATTCCATTAATGTGAAATGTCCAGAACAGACAAATGTATAGGGACAGAAAGTAGATTAGTGGTTTCCATAGGGGAGGGCAGAATGGGGAGTGATGGCTGAGTATGGGGTTTCTCTCAAGGTGATGGAAGTGTTCTGGAATTAGACAGTGGTGATGGTTGCAAAACTTTGTGAATGTACTAAAACCCACTGAATTATACATGTTAAAAGGGTAAATTTTACGGTATGTGAATTATATCTCAATTTGAAAAAGGATAAATAGCGCACGCCAAGGAGAAGGGCTTTTGCCCAGGAGTAGTGGACCAGGAGAAAGCATCGGGACTTGGAGGCACTGAGAGTCAGTGATGCTACATGTCAGCACAGATGCCTGCAGAGCCTTTGAGCTGGAGGAACGGGGATCGGTAGGGTCTGAGCCTGCTCTTGCTTGCTTTGGACCTCAGGGCCAACTGCACCCCGAAGAAAGCCAATTATTGTCTTAGATGGAAGGAGTTCTGAGCTTCAAATTAAAAGAAGTAAAGCCTACGTAGGTAAAAGGAAAGTTTATTCAAAAAAGTAAGAATAAGCCGGTAGTGAGAAAGCATAGGGAGTAAGTATAGACTTGTTTTGTACCTAAAGAGTAAATGAGAGCTGCAGTGGGGTTGAAGAAAGAATTTCTATTTAGCATTGTCTTTAGGGTAACCCTAAACAGTTGGTTTTTTGTTTTTTTCCCCAGTAGAGGGAAAGATGGAAGTCAAAAGAAGATATTAACAATGCTGGAGTAAAAATGGAAAATAAAGGAAATATGGATGAGAACTGCCACATAAGGTTGTGCACTGCACAACTCTAGGAGGTGCTATTCACACTGATGTCTAAATGTGTGGCATCACCTAGAGATGTGCAATGCACAGTCCTGATCTTGGCAATAGAGGATGCTTCTTCCTTTGAGACAAGAACCTTTGAAGACTGGGAGGAGGACATACAATGACATATTGAGGCAGAGTGGAAAGGAGTCTGAGGCCCTCTACTTTGTCATTCAAATAAGAGGGGAGGTTCTTTTTCAAGACTAATAGAGAAGAGTACACATCTGTGGGAGGCCAAAAAGAGTTTGGAGCAGATGATGAGACAAAATGTAGAGATGTCCCTCTCGACATGATGGAGAGATGTAAGGGTCCCTCTCAGGTCAGATGACTCAACTTTATAGTGGACTCTCTCACCACCACTCTGTGGCTTCCTCCAGCACCTTGGGGTGGGAGATGGGAAAGCAGACAGTGGGGATCACTCTGGGCTGGAACATGCAACCAGGGAGGAGGTCAAAGGAGCACCGAGCCCTAAGAGGAGGGCTTGGTGGAGGGCGAGGGGTCCGTCATGTCTTCATATACCTGGTGATTCATCCAGCAGGCCATTACTGAGCGCCCAGGATGTGATGAGGACGCAGAAGACATGTCTGGGCTGCATCTCACGGTGCTGAACTTGCAGTGTGGCCAGGAATCACTGTGAGGTGCAGTAAATGATAGATGCACGCACAGGAGAGGAGGGCTTGGTGGGCTGGGAGGGTGGGAGCAAGGCCAGCAAGAAGAGAGTTCCGAGATGAAGAACTTGGGGTCAGAGAGAGGAACCCAGGCCACACTTCTGCAAGATCTAGGTGTGAAACAGCTTAGGGTGTGATGAGCCTGGGGGATGAGGTGGGTCACGATGGAGGTCACTTGTGTTAAAAAGCAGCAGATGCGAGGCCAGTGTGGGGGAAGACCAGGCACAAAGGACAGTGCAGAGGGCGACAGAGGGAATAACGAGAGGAGGTCCTCGGCCCAGGGCAGGTAGCGGAGACTCAAGGCTAACGCTCAGAAGCTGGGCTTGGGTCCCGACTGCTTTACTTACACCGTCGTATTCTCATACCCTAGCACGTCTCTTCCGCCAGGCCATTATTCCATTATTCTTTGGTTTTGGTTGCTTTCCCTGCTGCTGCCATCATAAACAATTTCCACAACCACTCTTTAAAATCCAGCTCAGCAAATAGTAACATTCTCATTCCTTTGTTACCTTGAGATATAACATTTCTCCTCCAATTTTTTAAATTCAAATAAGTCTTGTGATGGTGGTGTTTTTGGAGAGGAGATGTTTTCTGATCAACTGAAAACTCTGAATTCCATGCTATTTACTCATTTATTCGACAGATCCTCACTGAGTCTCCATACCTTGTGCGGCACAGCAGGAGCGAGAGCAGAGTGGCCTGGCCCTCGCGGAGCTGACATTGCAGCAGGGACAGACAGTCAGGAAACAAACGAGAACACATGTGACTGGGGAGCGGTAGTGCTGGGAAGGAAAGTGAGCATAGGGTGGTCATGGAAGGTCCTTGAGGGAATGCCACCAGGGCCGAGTGGACCAGGTAAAGGATGAGTCCTTGGGGGAAAGGCCTTATTTGGGATCTAGCTCCAGTGGCTGGAGAGGGTGGGAGGCAGTGAGGCAGAGAGCGGCCAGCACCTGTGCTGGACAAGGGGATGTGGCCCTGCCCTTGTAGGGCTCATATACCTTCAGAAAAGACAGTGACAACAACAAAGAGTGAGTGTATGAGGAGAAAAATGCAGGGGCTTGAGAATACAGAGGGACAGACCTCATGGAGTGATGTCCCTAGGGTGGCTCTGAGGGTGAGCAAGGTGACGGCCAGCTAATGTGGGATGAGAGGGTGAGGGGGTCCACAGGAGAGAGCAGCACGAGGGCAGAGGCTGAGGTGAGAGGGAGGCTGGCACCTGCAGTTGCTAAAGGAGGGGACGGTGACAGCAGGCACAGCAACCTTCTCAGCAGCAGGCCTATCCAGGCCCCTCTTCTTCCTCAGCAGAATCCCGACTGCTCCAGGCAGTGACGTACCTGGCCCTGGTGAGAAACCGTGACTGCGCCTCTTTGTTCTAGAGGGTTACCATCATCAGCCTCCCTACAGCTAGGGCAGCTGCACGACCCCACTCTGGAAAATGAGGTGTAAGAGTTGTCTGTGGCGGGGCTCTCGGGGAGGACTTCTACCTTCCAGACCCAAGGGAAGATGTGAGAGGAGAGCCTGCAGCTGCCCTCTCTGTCCTGCTGTGGAGACAGTGGCAGATATTTCACAACCAGAAGGAAGAAAAGCCAAGATCCTAAGAATACTGACTCGGGAAGAAGGATGGGCTGACATTGTTGAGCTGCCCAGGAAAACCTGAGACCATCTGCCTCTAGAACTCTCTGAGTGTAAGTCACTGTCACACAGGGACTGTCACTCGCAGCCCAATGTGCTCCTAGCCCACTTGACAGGGTCGCGGCAGCAGCAGGGATGTTCACTCTCCTCTGCAAAGCACGAGGCACACGCACCCAGCACCCTGGGCTCTGTCTTCTTTGCATTGGCACTCATCTGGAGGGAACGCATGACTTGCACTTTTAATTTTTCCAATATTTCTACTACATTCTTTAGCAATTGACTTCTTTTTTAGTGGTAAAGAGCTATCGGTTCTTTCATAATTAAGAAACTCTTGGCATCCTAGTTATCTACTCTTCTTTTCAAAAAGATTAACTACTAGAGAAAAACATAATTTCTTTCTTATGAAAATAGCCTTGGAATAACTTCAGGCTTTTAAAATCATGTCAGCATTCCTGCAGATCTGATAATATTGTGAACTCATATATCTTACCACTGTGAAGTCAGGGTAGAAAATACATCATCTCTTTCAGATTCCTGGAATAACTTCAGAAGTTCTGGATCCCCAGATAAGTGTGCAAGAATGCGCAATTCAATCTGTGAAAAGTCTATTAGATAGAGTTCTGCATTAATTCAGAATCTAGCAACAATGTCCCTCATTGTTGCTACCCACCCCTTAGCCAACACTCAATCTTCCCTCCCTGCTGAGGTATTAAGGTCAGCATCCCCACCTCCCACCTGCCAGGGTGCTTTGGCCTCAGGGCCACTGGACATCCTGTGCCTGAAAGTCCAAGAGACCCCTTCTGCCTCTGTGAGGCCGGTCATGCCTCCAGGGTGGGCTGTATTTATTCATTCATTCATTCTATACATCAGAATTTTAGAAAGGGCCTACTATGTGCCAAGCTGTGTGCTGGGGATATGGCAGTCAATAGAACAGACAACAATCCCTTCCTTCATAGAGCTTACATTCTAGGAGGGGGAGACAATTTGAATGAATTATTTGGTATGTTAGACAGTGAGAAACGAAATGAAAAAGATCAAGATAAGAAGGTTCAGGAGTGAGTGTGTGCATAGGGAAGTTGCTGTCATAAATAGGGTAGTCACTGTACACCTTATCAAGAAAGCACATTTGAGCAAAGGCACAGAGGAAGTGAAGGAGGGAGCAAGACGATATCTGGGGAAGAGGGTCCCACGCAGGGCCTGAGGTAGAGCTGGCTAATGTGTTGGAGGACAGCAGAGTGGCCAGCATGGCTGTAGAGAGCAAGCAAGACAGAGAGCCGTGGGTGACGAGGACAGAGAGGAAAAAGAAGGGGCAGACTGAGTGGGACCACGTAGAGATATTTGGGATCTAGCTATGGTGAAGTAAGAGACCCAGGAAGCAGATCTGTTCTTATTTACTATGCATAAGAAATCTTTGCCTCATACAAATATTTGCCTTAGGATTTAAAGAATGAGTTCTGTGAATACCTTTGAATTATTAAATTTTTAAATATTTGAACTGTGCAAAACGCGTAATGTGAGCTACAATGACACAGCGTCTCTCCACCATAGCTTGCACATACCTGCTGCCAGGAAGGTGTGGCCTTCAGATGAGACAAACATGGTCCTCGGGGAGATGGTGAGGATGTCATCTTCCTTACCTGAATTGTTATTTCAAAAGCACTTGGTGAGTTGGTCACGAGCTGATTCACAGCTATTCCTCATACAAAGTTATTTTAACATCAGTCTAAAGTCAAAAGAGTCTAGATTTCTGATTTTTCTGAATGTTCTTACTAACATAATCTGAAAATATAATATTACTACTGGAAGTAAACTAGATTTTCTGTTGTTAAAATTTTCTGTTCAGTCTGGAATAGGTAATGAAGAACAGATGAAATATTGACACTTGGACGTATTCCAATAAGAGCAATCTAGAGACTCTGCGAGCCTCCTTAATTAGAAGACTGACCATGGAGAAGCACGAACTCTAAGATTCTCCCACTGAACACATTTCAAAGGGCGGTAGGAGATAAACCTCCTTATCGTCACCTTCCATGAGTCCTGTTTAAGCATGATTATGTGTATTTTAAGAAGGACTGCTCATCACGCTTCCTTGTTTTGCTGTGGCGTCTGGGGCAGCAGTTCCCAAAGCCACGGGGGCAGGAGTTTGCTAGGAATGGGCCACAGAACCCTGCTTTGCTCAGATTTGACCTTTGTGTTTTTTAGAAACGTAACCATCAGCATTACAGTGGAAGAGCTTAAAAGAAAGAAGATCGTTAGTATGCTTTTATAAACATTTCCAGTAATTTTCAGGCTGTAATAAAAGTCAGTTCTATTGTATGTCTGCTTGTTTTTTTCTTTACTGAGAAGCTGGTGGGGGAGAGATGGTAGGAAGAGAGCTACTTTCCTTGTATAATTATCATCTATTTTAACATGTAAACTGCTAAAAGGGAGGCACCATATCACTTTAGCTGTGTTTTCTTTTTCAATGTATATTTAAATCCTGGTCATACAAAGGAGAACTTCAGGAAAGCAAAGCAGTTAGTTATACAGAAAAGCAAGTACAAACACTTGTAGATTTTTTTAAAATGTTACTCAAGACTTTAGCAAAATAGAAAGAAATGTAATACCTTTAAAATTTTGAGGTTTAGTAATTTGAATTGGATGCTTGGAGATACCCTGGATATTCTGCTAATAATAAGAGGAAAATAGCTTTAGTTGAAATAGTATCTACTCTTAAATTAATCTGTATATTTAAGGGTATTAAAAATGTGTCAAATTTTCTTAAACATTAACAAAATAACTAATGCCAACGTATTATGTATGCATAAGCATATAAATACTTAACACAACTGTCTAATACTGAAACATAATTTCGGTGGGTGCACCACTAAATATAATCAGCGAATGTAAGCCTTATCATAATTACATACAGTAATTCTTTTATCAGCAGCCAAAATTATAAACTTAGTTAACTTTAAAATTCCTACATAATATACCAAATATAGATTTCTGTGAAATTTGTATATTGTACTTTCCTTTCAAAACGTATTTTAAGGTGAAAATTTAGGTCTCTCCACCCTGTTCACCCCCTCCTCCATTACCCTTGGTGTTGACCTCTGTCTTGCTAATTGTACTGATTCTACATGATCTCTAACAGGAGATACAAGAGGAGGGGATACTTCCTAATTCATTTCATGAGGCCAGTAACATCCTAATAACAAAACCAGACACATACATTTCAAGAAAAGAAAACTACAGACCGACATCCCTCATAAATACAGATACAAAAAATCCTAAATAAAATATTAGCAAATCAAATCCAGAAATAGAACAATCATCAAGACCAACTGGGGTTAATCCCCAAAATTCCAGCCTTGGAAAGTTTGACTTTTGAGAATCTATTAATATCATTCACTGTAGTAACAGACTAAAGAAGAAAAATTACGTAATTATCTTAATAGGTGCAGACAAAGCATTTGACAAAATTAAATATCCATTCATGATAAAAACTACTCTCAGCAAACTAGGAATAGAAGGGAATCTTCTAACATAATAAAGAAAATCTGTGACAAAACCTAAATGTAACATCATCCTTCACAGTGAAAGATTCAATAGTGAAAGATTCATCCTTGCCTTATGATCAGGAACAAGTCAAGGATGTCTATTCTCAATACTTTTAGTCAACATAACATAGGAGGTCTTAGCCAGCACAATAAGGCAAGAAAAAGAAATAAAAAGCATACAGTGGAAAGGAAAAAACAAAATGTTTATTATTCACTAACGACACGATTGTCTAAATCTTCATAGATGTCATGGAAACTACAAAAAAGTTCCTAGGACTAATGAATGAGTTGACCAAGGTACCAGGATATAAAGTCAATATACAAAAATCAATTGTATGTTTACATATTACCAATGAACAACTGGACATTCAAATTAATAAACAATACACCCCCAAAATATTTAGGTATAAACCTGTATGCTGAAAACTATAAAATCCTGATGAAAGAAATCAAAGAAGCTCTAAATAAATGGAAAGACATACCATGTTCATGGATTAGAATACTCAATATTAATTCACCAATGACCCCCAAATTGATCTATAAATTCAACACAAGACCAATCAAAATCCCAGGAAGATTCTTCATAGCTATCAACAAGTTGATTCTATAATTTATGGATCATAGATCTAAATGCAAAATGTAAAACTCTAAAACTTTTAGAAGAAGACTCAATAGAAAATCTTTGTGGTCTTGGGTTAGACAAAGAGCTGTTAGAAACATACAAACAGCAAGGTCCATAAAAGAAAACAATTGAAAATTTGGGCTTTATCAAACTTGCATAAACCTTTGGTCTGTGAAGGACACTTTTAAGGGAAGAAAAATCAAGCCTCATACCAGGAGAAATTTTTTGCAAATCACATTGGATTTGAAATATATAAAGAATTCTCAAAAAATTCAGCAATGAGAGGTACTCCCAGAATGGCAGAGTGAGGAGCTTGCCTACTCATTCTATGAGGTCAGTGTTACTCTGATACCAAAGCCAGGATCAAATACAATATCCTCCATAAATACAGACACAAAAATCCTCAATAAAATATTAGCAAACTAAATCTAGCAACATACAAAAAGGGTTATATACCATGACCAAGTGGGATTTACCTCAGAAATGCAAGGTCAGTTTAAAATCCAAAAGTCATTAATATGATACATCAGATTAGTAGACTAAAGAAAAAGAAACACATCATCATCATCATAGAATATTAAAAGCATTCAAAAAAATCTGGCATTCACTCGTATTAAAGTATCTCAACTAACTAGGAAAAAGAGTCTTTTCTCAACCTAATAAAGAGTATCTACAATTTATTCACTTTGAGTAATTTCAATGTCTACAGCTATATTAAATAGGATGTGTTCTCTATCAAGTAGCATGTCAAATCAGGATCAGATCAGACCGTAACTAATGTACCCGGCTAAAAGCTCTTGGTAAGCACAGCGGGATGTCAGGATCACCCAGCAGACAAGTGCACAATTCCTAAAATCATTTCCCTCCCACAGCACATAAAATAACAGTTTTAATGAAAGTTGCTTTACCAAAAGAAAGAGGGATAAATAAGTTTCCTATTTGTTCTGAGAAAGCAGTAATGTTAAGTTTAAATTGATTATTTTTAGATGAATATGAAGGAAGCCTTTTGATAATTAAATGCCAATTTTTATGTTTTACAATATAACAAACAATAGGATAATAGAAAATTCACTAGGGGCTGGCCCCCATGGCCGAGTGGTTAAGTTCCCGTGCTCCACTTCAGTGGCCCAGGGTTCCGTCAGTTCAAATCCTGGGTGCGGACATGGCATGGCTCATCAGGCCACGTTGAGGCGGCATCCCACATGCCACAACTAGAAGGACCTACAACTAAAAATACACAACTATGTACCCAGGGGGCTTTGGGGAGAAAAAGGGGAAAAAAAAAGAAAATTCACTAAATATCTAACTTACATAGCACACTTTGTTAAATATGTTCTACAATTTGAACTTTTTTAAAAGGGAAAATTCATTTTCTTCTTTTTTTTTCTTTTTCTCCCCAAAGCCCCCCAAGTACACAGTTGGGTATTCTGGTTGCAGGTCCTCCTGGTTCTGCTATGTGGGATGCCACCTCAGCAGCGCCTGATGGATGAGTGGTGCTATGTGTGTGCCCAGGATCCAAACCAGGTAAAGCCTGGGCCGCCAAAGCGGAGCACGCAAACTTAGCCACTCGGCCACAGGGCCAGCCCCTATAATTTGAACATTTTAAGGAAAGCTAAAATGTATATCTTGTTCTTTGATCGTATGGAAGCATGCAATCCCAAGAAGGGACTTGAAGGTTTTAGCTCTTTTTTTTTTTCCCCTCCGTCACTGCTGACAGATATCAGCCTGACTCCTAGGCACTCCCACTAATCTCAAATGGGTTCTTCTTTTCTATTATCCTGCAATAGCCGTTCTGTCCATGGTGAGTTGCCAAGGCATGAATGAGAGCTTTGGCATCTGACTATGGCAGAGAATCTCAACCAGGAACAGCAATATTTTACTGTTGTGCTACAGGGAAAGAAGAGGAATAGTAAGTAGTTCCTTTAAGTCAATCTCAAACAAGCTGGATAAAAAAGCTGTGCATTCTTATTGGAGATGTGGAACATAAAATTACTGAACAAGAAAAAATAAAATATTTTCAATCAGAACTGCTTTTATGAAGTGTCCCAAATATGCCTAGAGATAAGTTATTAAAATTAAATAAAACAGCTGTTAAAAATAGGACCAGAATATTTTGATGGAGAGCACCAAAAACATCTACGAAATCTTCTATTATGCTAAATTTTTAAAAAATAAAAATATCCTTTTTATTTTAGAACAGTTTTACAGAAAGGTTGGGACGATGGTATAGAGTCCCCATATGCCCCTCACCCAGTTTCCCATATTGCTAGCATCTGACATTGTTATGATACCTTTGTCACAACTAAGAAACCAACATCAACACATTATTATTAACTAAACTCCATAATTTACTTGGAATTGACCAACTTTTACCTAACGTCCTTTTTCTGCTCCAAGATCCCATCCAGGACAACACATTACATTCAGTTGTCATGTCTCCTTAGGCTCCTCTTGGCTGTGGCAGTTTCTCAGACTTTTTTATGACCTTAACAGTTTTGAGGAGTACTGGTCAGGCAGAATGTCCCTCAGTTGAGATTTGCTTGATGTTTTTCTCATGGTTAGACTGGGATTATTGGTTTTGGGAAGAAGACCACAGAGGTAAAGTGCCCTTCCCATCACATCGTATCAAAGGCACATGCTATCAACATGACCTATCACTGTTGATATTGACCTTGATCTGAGGTGGTGCTTGCTAGGTTCTCCACTGAAAAGTTATTTTTTTATTTGTCCTTTTCTATGCTGTATTCTTTGAAAGCAAGTTTCTAAGTGCAGCCCACACTTAAGGGGTGGGAAGTTATCACAGCAAGCATTTTTCTGTATGCAGTGAGAGAAGCAAACTGAAAGAGGGGTGGTGTTGTGAGAAAGCTTTCTATGTGGGGAGAATATTAATTGACCAAACAGAAAACCGAAGGTCCTGGCAAAAATGCCAGAGGAGGGGGAGGTGATGTCAGCTGCAGCGGTGGAGACTGCTGGCATGGACAGAAGACTGCAGCCTGAACTGGGTCTTGAAGGTCAGAAGAGGTTTGCAGCAGCAAAAGGTGGATTCAGACCAGCAAGAGGCAAAACAGGCCTGCAACTCAGGACTTGCAAATTCCCTACAGGTAATAGCTCACTAGGTTGTGAGGGAAAACCCTGTAGAATTTGGCCTGCGGCGTATCTCAAATTTAGTTAGCTAAGGAACCCTTTTCTACAGAACTCCTTTTAGCATCTCAAGGCGTGTAGTCGTCCAGAGCTGTTCCTTACTTGGAGCCTTTGACTTTTGGTCTTTCTCTGGAACATTACTTTCCCTCAGACCTTAGCAAGCCCAGCTCCTTCTCAATTTTGAAGCCACAGCGCAAATGTCACCTGCTCAGTGAAGCCCTCCTAGAACATCTAAGCCAATGTAGCACCCCCACCCCCTTAACTCTTTATTCCTATTTTCCCTGTTTATTTTTCCCTTGGCACTTACTACAATGGAAATTTGTTATGTATTTACATGGTTATGGGCTATCTGTTACCCCTAG